CAGAGCAGAGGCCAGAAAAGAGGAAGTTCAAGATGAGCATGTGGAAGAAGAGAGGTAGGGATTGTCTTACTTTGAGGCGTAGAGTCTACCTCCTGACTGCAAATTTCTAGCTGTGTGACCCTAGGCAGGTCACTTACCCTCTCTGATCTTGCTTTCCTCATCTATAAAATAGAGACTATATCTAACCTACAGGGAAACTGAAGTGTAGTAGATGATAGAGAGAGGGAACAGGGATTCTCTCTCTCACCTTAGCATTTGGAAGGACCTAGAAGACATAATAATCAGGAAAAGCTTTGGAACAACCCCCATGGTTCACTGAAAACAGTGAAAAGACCTGGAAAGGAAGTTCAAGTTCTTGAAATGAGGGCATCTTGTGGGAAGAAACCTAAGGGAATCATGGGGTCCATAAATCTGTAATAGGAAGCTAGGGGCCCATCACTACAGAAAGGAACGCTGAGTGCGCCTGAGCTGAAGGGAATTAGACCAGGCTGGTAATAACCCTCCCTGTGGGATGCCTGCTTTGTTGGGCGGGGATGATCCCTGGAGCCGGGCACACTGCGACAGGTGTGGAAGCTGGGCCACATCACCGTAACACCCCTAAAAGCCCTTCAGGCATAGCACTGGGATGTTCAGAACAGATCCTCCAAGCTGGAGAAGCTCCCAGCATCCGAAGTTCCCAACTCAGCCTTGCAACGTAGCATTGATCAATCTGAAGACATACAATTTCCAGGACTGATCAGAAAGCTGATAAAAACCAGGGCAGTGGTTCTAACAAAAGAATGGGAGTTACACAGAGCTTGAAGAGGAACCATCAGCGCCCCTGGCTTATAATTTGAAGACACCTCCTGGGCCAAAGGGCTGGTCACTGAGGGTGAGGCGACATTCTTTAGAGACTTCCTTAGACCAAAGACTTTCCCAGCCCAGAAACGCCTTGTCAGACAGAGTGAGAATTTTATTGAGCCAGAATTTTATTGAGCCATGGTTGCTCCTCCTCTTCACTGTGTCTCAATATCGAAATCTATGTAGATGAGAAGCTGATGGGATTACATTTTGATTCCCAGAGCTCCCCGCCCTGCCCCAGCCTCCAGAGGGAGGGTCAGCTGGCACACTCTCCCTGGGAGTCTTGCTGCCCTGGGTGCCGTGCTCCCGCCTGTCCGCCCCTCTGCTGGTGGATGGATGGGTCTGCTCGGCTCTCCCTCTGAGTATCTGCCTTGCAGGAAAAGCGTGGACCAGAAGCAGGGATGGCGCACCTTATGGCCCATGGAAGGGACCACGTGTGATCTCCACAGCACTTTCCCAATGCCGGTGAGGGTCATCTGAGAGAATGCATGTGAAAGCATTTTGTACATAGTAAAGGACAGTGGACCCATTCATGTTTTTCACCAGGATGAGCTAAAGATGAGAGGTATTTGCTCCTGATGGGATCTCTCCTTGTCTCTAACAGAAACAATATTTGTACCAGGAAACCTCCTCTGGTCTCTGAGCCCAGCCCCATTGCTCAGCCCCAGAATATTACGTGAAACTTCTCCTTAGAGTACAAGATCCTTACTTCTCCTTGACCTTCACATCTCACTGCTCTGTAGAATCTCTGTTCCAAGAATCCTTGGATTCAGGCACGTAGTTCCCTCCATCTGCCCCCCAGTCTTCCATGATGGGGATGGTCAGGGCTTCTGAAAAGAAAAGGCAGGGCCATGCTTTCTTAGTCAATCCCAACTCCTGCCCAGAAGGAGAAGTATGGGAAAAATGGCCTCTGGTTGGCCTTGCCCTTGTATTTTTTTTCCAGAGCCAATTTGGATTCCCTAAGAACATCATACACATCCTACACACGTGCATGATCCCAGGGATAATCAAATCCACACCCTGAAATAGGTCTGGTGATGCCAGAAAATAGTCCTGGTTAGAGAGCTCTTGGCCTCTCCATTGTGTGATCCTTCCTTGGCATCTGACCTCAATTTTCCCAAATATAAAATAGAGAGTAGAATTCCTTTTTTATCAGGCTTCATTGCACAAACTCTTAGGGCAACAAAGACATGAAATGCTGCCATACACACAGCCCCACCCATCCTTCACTCCCTCCCTCAACCTCCTGCCAAGTGGTTAGCCAACCTCTGCTTACAATGTGCTAAGTCCATGTGGCCTCTCTCACATCAGGATCAATTAAAGGATGCTTCTAATATTGAGCCAAATCTGCTGTGTTCCCACCTGTCCATCTTGATCATCTCTTCTAGGCCGTTTCTACATATGAGAAAAAGCAGGCTCTGCACATTACACTCTTCCTGGTCCCCATGCCTGTCCTCGAAGCCAGGGCACTACTCTCTCATATGCTGTCACCGTCAGCTGAATACTTTCAGTCATGTTTCTACTCACTGCTGTCTATCCATGTCTTCCCATCCTGGTCTTTGTGCTCTTTGACTTTGACGTGTAGAAACTGTATTTGTCTGCTCCCTTTATCCCTCCCCTCGGGAAGCCCCTCTGCCCACATTTCCCTTTCCTGGTTCTTGCCCCGCAGGCCTGATTCCAAGACAGGTGAGATGGGGAGAAACTTCTCCAAGAGAATGTAGGGGTACACATGGGAACACGATGTCTCATCAGAATGAGTTGCAGGTCTATTTGAATGACTCCCATATCCAAATGCCATCTGTATTCCTTCAGAGAATGAGAAAGCAGGTAACATCTTTTACGTGACTCCTTTACACGGACTCAGAAATATCACAGAGGATAAGGTGATGGCTTAACCTGCTCCACCCTTGAATTTCTGCCTCTCTGCCTCCCTCGGGGACATCAATTAAAGACACCCCTGACCATAAACTCTGCTAAGTTAATGGCCTCAGCTTCTTCTCTCCCCAGTTCAGTCTCTCCTACCTGGCTGTCCCCTGTCACTCACACACACTTTCACACTTTCTGATCTTCAAGACTCTGAGCAGACCACTCCCCCGTCTGGAGGCCCCTCCCTGACTCCATGTCCATAGCTGCTCTGACTCTGTTCCCCGACTTGTTCTACTTTCCAGCCCTTCAAGTTAGGACCAAACTTCCCTTCCCCAGCGTGTGCACCGCCTGCGGTCCCCACTGCTCCTGTGCAGTGGGTCTGCCCCTGTCCTCAATATGACCTTGCTTCCACCCTCAGGCCAGGGGGTCCATGGGGGCCCACACTCCAATTTCCTCTCCCACTGAACCCTCCCCGTTCGTGTTGTGAGTGCCTTCAGATTCCGAAATGTGTTCATTTAACATCACATTCCCAGTGCATAGGCCACTGCCTGCCACACAATGGGAGCAAAACAAATTCCTCCTGAACAAATGTGTAACTGACTTTTCAAAGATCAGCCACTTTAAGGTTTATATTAGCATGATTGTGTGTGCAAGGTTTTTGAGGATCAACTATTACTCATGCAATAAAAAACTAATAAAAGCTGTAAACTTTACTTTTCAATTATGAATAATTCCAGAAGCCTGCAGAAAGTGAAAAAAAAAAGAGTAAACTAATGTGATCAGACAACAGTTTGGAGAGCACAGAAAATTTATTGTAGAGATACTAGAAATGTCAAGCCCTTCAAGGTACAACCTTCAACCAGGAGATGATGAGGTCACAGTACTTCGTAAGGAACCTACATTGAGTCCAGCAGATGCCTCAAGAGTGTCACTGACACGGCTATCGTATTAGGACTCAGCGAACAAGCAGAGGTAAATCCAGATCTAAGCAGCAAAGCCAGCCCTCTCTTAAGGCCCACAAGGCCCCCTTAGTTGGTCATATTTTCCCCATCCTGTCCTCTCCAGCATATCTCAAGTATCTTATGTGAGACCCAAAATAAACAGAGTCTCACAAAGAGAGAATCACAGACAACAGGAGTCAGGAGGGACTTTGCAGTCTGGGAGGAGCATGAAGCTATACCGTGCTAACAACGGGCAGCTTGCAGACTAGTTCAGGGTTGAACCTTCCCAAAACCCAAGTGTGATTCTCAAACTCCTCAGGGCTTGGGCACCTGGACAGATCAGTGCTGGGCTGAACGTGCCCAGCCTGCTGGGCAATTCTCCAGAAGGTCATTATGAAGCAGAGTTCAGGAAGGCCACACTTCCAAAGAATGGAGCTTCCAAAGGAAGTCAGGACAGAATAGAACCAGACTGCAGTCCATCGACTCCTTCACTCACTGCTAGTTACAGTCCTCCCTGTGGACAAGCATTTCTGCTCTCTGGATACCCCGTCATGGGCTGTTAACCCAAGGGATAATGTTTCCTGACACAGAGATTAAGAATCAGGACCAGACAGGACTCACAGGTGTCAGATGGGTAAATCCACACTCTCCAGCAATAGCAATGGATGGGGCTATAGACCCAGAGGCAGGAATCGACCCCTAGCACAGAAGTTCTCCTTACCAAGCTGGCCTGCCTTGTCCTCAGCTACTCAGCCAAAGACCTCATTTTCAAGTCCCCTAAGGCAGCGTTCCCTAACCTTTTTGACACCAGGGATTGGTTTTGTGGAAGACAATTTGTCCCTGGACCAGAGGGTGGGGGGAGATGGTTTCTGGATGATTCAATCGCATTACATTTATTGTGTATCTTATTTCTACTATTATTATATCAGCTCTACTTCAGGTGGAGGTTGGGAATCCCAGCCCTAAGGAATGAATTATTCACAGAGAAGCCCAGGTGCAAGAAGGGGAGCCTGGAGCGAGAAAAAGAGCCTGGAATGAGAAACCTGGTATACTCGACATCAACTCTCCATAATCTGCAAGTGTACCCAAGGACAGAAGCAGGGCCAGCTGAGGCATCTGACTTGAGAATGTGCCGGGGTGTGTTTGGACTACCGGGCAGTGCCCTCCAAATAGAGATCTCCGTTTGGGATTATCCACCTGATTCCCTGTCTAGAGTGGAATTTATTGGCAAAACTGCTGAGACCCATCGGAAAAAGGTAAGGGGATGGGGGTCAGGAAGGCGTGGCGGGTGGGGGGCAGGAAGTGGTGCTTGTGAGGCGTTGCAGAAGCCTGGCGTCCCGGAAGCCTGGCGCTCTACTCCAGGATTCGCCTGTGGGAGGTGCTGGTAGACGTTTGGATTATCTGCATTCCGGAGGTGCCGCCTTTTCTGCCCCGGTACTTGCTGCTACTTATGCTATTCCCTCCGTGGCTCCCACCGCCGCTCTCATAACCGCCTCCACTGCCCCCTCGAGAGCCCCCTCCGTAGCCGCCCGAGCCCCCGCGGAAGCCGCCGCCGCCGTAGCTTCCACTGCTGCTGCCGCCGGCGTAACCGCCGCCGCCGTAACCGCCGCCGCCGTAACCTCCGCCTCTGCTGAAACCTCCAGAGCCCCGGGCACCTCCGCCGATGGTGAGCTGGCTGCTCTGCACAGCTGTGGGGGCAAGGACAGCCCACACGTCAGAGGACTGGGCAGGGCGGACCTGCCTGCACCTACCCTCGGAGCAGCCCCCTACATCCTTCGTCACTGGCAGCATGACTTGCCAAAAGGATGGATGAAAGTCTCCCCCATTTCAGAAGTATTCCTCCTAATACAAAGGGATGTCAGGGCGCATTTTCGTTATTGCTACACCCTGAAGAATTCTAAGCCGCTGCTGATTATTAGGCATCATAAAAATCAAAATAAAGGAGAAGTAAGGTCGTATATTATTTCAAGCTATTTCTCTGGGCTGTGCAGTTGTCCTTGCTTATTTTGCTTTTCGTTGTGTAGGACTGGACACAAAATGCCTGCTGCCAGATTTCTGCTGGCCAGTCTTCTCATGGGCCCTCCCTCCCCCAGCCCCAACCAGCCCCACTCTTGGGCTCTGCTACTTACAGATGCTCACTTGGCTCTGCAGCTCCCCTGACATCCTGTAAAAACCAAGGTGCGCACAGTCAGCATTATCCGCAAAGCCTGAAGGAAAGCAATCATCAGCCAGGAGACATCAGGAGCAGGGGAGGTGTGCTGGGAGCAGGGAGGTCAGGGAACCAGTGCAGGCAGAGGGGATTTGAAGCATTTTCGTGAGGCCTTTTAGCATTGGGGGTCGCCACCTGGCTGCAGTGGCTTAAGTTGTGGTATTAGAGACGTTGCACTGGGGAACAGGACAATGATGACAATGATGCTGCCCACTCACACGTCCTCTGCTTCTGACTTGAACTTTTCTGCTCACCCTGAGCTACCCATCTTCCCAGGAAAGCTGCTGCTGCTGCTGCTGCTGCTGCTGCTGCTGCTAAATCACTTCAGTCGTGTCTGACTCTGTGCACCCCCGTAGACGGCAGCCCACCAGGCTCCCCTGTCCCTGGGATTCTCCAGGCAAGAACACTGGAGTGGGTTGCCATTTCCTTCTCCAATGCAGGAAAGTGAAAAGTGAAAGTGACGTTCAGTCGTGTCTGACTCTTAGCAACCCCATGGACTGCAGCCTACCAGGCTCCTCCATCCATGGGATTTTCCAGGCAAGAGTACTGGAGTGGGGTGCCATTGCCTTCTCCAATTCCCAGGAAAGCTGGGATTGTATAAATAGGGACTCTAAAAAATCCCACTGCTCCAGGGCTGCAGCCTGTCTGCGCTCTGGCCTGGAAACACAGCCCACCTGCTCTCCTCGCCCTCCAGCAGCTTGCGGTAGGTGGCAATCTCCACGTCCAGGGACAGCTTAGCTCCCAGCAGCGCCTGGTAGTCACGCAGCAGGCGGGCCAGCTCCTCCTTGGACTGCTGCAGGGCGGCCTCCAGGTCCTGCAGCTTCTGCTGTGCATCCTGGAGGGCCTGGTGTCCCCTCTCCTCTGCATCAGAAATGATGGTGTGCACCTGCTCGATCTACTCGGGAGACAGTCAAGGAGAAGAACCATGTGGGGCATGAGTTTCCAGAGCTTCATGAGGCAGAGGGTTATGGGAGGTAGAAGCTCTGATCAGCCACCCTGAGCATCCATCTCACCTGCTTCTTGACGTTGCCAATCTCTGCCTGCAGCCTCTGGATGGTGAGGTTGAGTTCGGAGATCTCCGTCCTGCTGGTCTTCAGCTCGTCTCCATGTCTTCCCGCTGTGATCTGGAGCTCCTGGTACTGAGGGTCAAGGGCAGCATCATGGTCAGCCTGCTGCTCATCACACACTTCTCCAGGAAAGAGTGAGTCTGCCTTCCCAGCCCCTGCCCAAGGCTGCTCTCCCCTAGGGAAGGTCCCAGAGTAAGCCTCCCTAGAGCTGTGATCCCCCATACACACACTTACACTTGTGCCAGACCTCCCTCATTTGAACTGTGACACCACACACACACACACACACACACACAGGCGCCTGTATCTCGAGACAGAGTTTCAGAATCAGAACCAAACAAGACAAACCTACTTCTTGATGCACCCTTTTACCTCCTTTTTCCCACATCTAAACTTTGCCCATACTGGGCCCCTCTCACTTTTCCCATTCCGCCATATTCCTTCTTCCCCTTTTCCAGAATGATTTCTCTAACACTCAGGACCTTACTTCTTCAGAAGCCCTCAGCATGTTCCCTCTTTATTCACATTTTCCTCTCTATCTCCATTCCTGTGTCTATGGGCCCCATCATGAGGACCTCCACCTGCAGGCCATCGACAAAACCAGGGCTCAATGACTGTTACAGAGGAAGCAGAGAGGGGTGCCTCTGAAGAAAACAAGGGAGAGCGTGGGCTCAAGTGCATCTCTGCATTCTGAAGTCTTCACTGTTGACCATCTGTCTCCCCCGTCTGACACTCAGAACACCTGCCTACAGGACAGTGGGATAGAGGCCAGCCACTATTGGAGTTGGTCACAGGTAATCCACAAAGCAAGTCTCCAACGCCAGGTGTTCAGAATTTAGTGACCGGCCTTTGACTCTTAACTGCAGTGTTCGCCCTCCAGAAAGTTCCGAGTCCATTTATGTTAAACAAGTCACCGAAGATGTGCCCCAAAATTTAGCTACAAAGATGTTTATCTGAAAACTGGAGACATATTCTTACCATGAAATACCACACTGCTCTTAAAAATGATGTCAAATAGTTAATGTCAGAGAAAGGTATTCACAAGTAATAAATGAAAGAGAAAAATATAAAAAGATATTTTTTAAGATTTCATTATGAAAAAAATAAGAAAACATCATGGTGGCTGAGAGCATGGATGTGTAGATGGTATACCTGAATTTAATTAAGTTCTGCCTCTGCTACTTCCAAACCATAAGAGCCAAGGGAAATTGGTAACCTCATACTCTGGTATTGGTAAAACAATAAAAGAATCTTTACCTCATAGCGTTGTTGTAAGGAGTAAATGAAATTCTATGTATAACAGGACTTAGTGCAGTACCTGATATGTGTGAGTTTTCAATAAAGGTTAGCTACAAAGAACGAGTGGAAAATATGCTGACATATTCATATTGGTAGTGGGATATGAGTAATCTTTAGCTGTAATCTTGAAATTTTCTATAGCAAACATGTTTTACTTTAGAAATAAGAAAAAGACAATACAAGTTCTGGGAGGTATGCTCGGTTCGGGGTACCAGGCCTGGGCTGGGGATAGAGATGCTCACCTTGGTCTGGTACAGGGCCTCAGCCTCATCCTTGCTCCTTTGTGCAATCTCCTCGTACTGAATCCGCACGGCATCGATAATGCTGTCCAAATCCAGGGAGCGGTTATTGTCCATGGACAGGATGACACTGGTGTCAGTGATGTTGGTCTGCATCTGAGACAGCTCCTGCAAAGCATGGAACACAGGCTGACTTCTTCCAGTCCCCTCCCGGGACCTCAGTTTCCCTCTACTGCCCCCCGCCCCCCTCCCCCACAAGGCTCTCTGAGGAAGCCTTGAGAGAGAAAAGTTCTCTAGGAAAAGCTCTTAGAATAACTGTTGTGTGCCCAGAGAGACCTTCACTAAAGGTACAGGCATCTGGATCTAGGCGCAGAGAAGAAGGGAGCCTGAACTCAGAGCCGCCCGTCATGCCTTTCCTGGACCCTCCGTCCCTCCTTACTCTGGCTTGGCCACTATCTTGAGCAGGACCTCCAACCAGGCAGACTTCTTCCTTAAGATCACATGAGCTCCCAGAGGCAGCAGAAAGGATTCCATGTGTGTAGATGCTCAGACTTGCTTTAGCATCTGAGCTCCACCACTAACCAGCTGGGTGCCTGAGCAAGGAACTCAGTCTCTCAGTGCCCCTGTTCTCTCATCTATAGACTGGAGATACCCAAGACCCAGTAAAGCTCCCAGCACAGCATCCGGTCCAGAGAAGGTGCCTCCAAGTTAGACCAGGGTTGGGAGGAGTGTGTTACCCCCACCTCTCCAGTCTTCACCTGCATTCCCTTTAAGACCCACACTGCCCTCTTCTGCAGAGTTCCCTGATGGCCCCATCTACTCCCCAGTGCTGATGAAGCTGTCTGGTTGGTTTTACCCTATATGTCCTGGGCATTAAGCTTCATTTCCAGACAGAAGCAGAGACTGTTTCACCATCTCCCACCTCCCATCTCCAAGGCCCCACACATGGAATCCTGAGCTTTGGGGGTTGAAACGATTCTGACTCCAGGCCCTCAAACTTGAGGTGACTGGGGAGAGGCACCCCCAGGAGGTAATGTTGGGTGTCAGACCTCCCCCTCTTACAGCCCACACCCCCTGACAGATGTAGAAAAGAGAAGGGTTTCTTATGAGAACTGAGAAATCATCTCATAGAAATATTTGAGATATTGACTCACCGATTGAAATAAATATTTCAGGAAATCAACCTCCTCAAGCAGAGTGTCTGCCTTGGACTGTAGGTCCACTTTGCTCAGATAAGCAGAATCCACATCCTGAACAACAAGCGAAGACAGTGACTCGGTTGCCCTGCCACCAGCTGTCTGGGCAGCCTTGGGCAAGTGGCAAAGCCTCTCTGGGTTTATTTCCTAGCCTGCAAATTTCCTCCCCTCAGTCAAATAAGGGGCCAGCAAACCTGGGCTTTGCTGGCCAGAAGGAAGTTTCCATCAGCTCCTCATCCTGGCCAGTCATGCAAAATACCCCAGGTCCTAAGGCCCCCACACAACACACTCACATGCTGCCCATTAATTTAATTCCACTTTCAGGACTCTGGAGAGATTAAAAACTCAAAAACTTTTCAAGATTCACATTAGCAACACATTTTTGAGACTTACTGCTTCAGGGTCAGGGCCCCAGCATTTGGGAAACACCCTCAACAAGCTGGCCCCCAAACTCACCTGTCCACCCCTCCGTTCTTCTGCAACCCAAAGGAGTCCCTGCCTCTTCTCAGCCTCCTAAACCCACAGTTCTCCTCTGGACACCCCCATCCCTCACCTTCTTCAGGACAACAAATTCATTCTCGCCACTGGTCCTCCGGTTGATTTCTTCCTCATACCTGTTGCGGGGAGGTCAGAAACACAGACAGGCTGCAAGGGCTGACCTCAGCTCCTTGAGATTTTTCCTTACAGTGGGAAGCTCGGAATCACCCAAACTTTTATGGTCCTGGACTCTGGCTGTCCCCTGCCAGGGCCTGCCACTGTCACTGACAAGCAGCTGGAGCCATCTCCTGGCTCTCCAGGTCAACAGAGGGCACAACCCCCCAGTGTGGAAAATCTAGAGCCACATAGAAAGTCCCCAAAATGTCCTTTTTATTTTAATATCTTACCTTTGCACATTTGTCCAGTTCGATCATTTTTTTAAATGAGAACCTAAATAGCAACCACTTTTACTAAATTTTTTAAAAGAGAGAAAAATTTCACCTGCCATTCTGCCCCATCACCTTCAATGTGCATTTCATTTCCCCCTTGTTGACTCACACACATGTGACTGCTCAATGCAGTAAGCACGTCAAGGTGATGTTAAGAGAAGCACCCTAATGAGACAAGTGCTCGGGCCTGGTGCACTGGGAAGACCCAGAGGGATTGGGTGGAGAGGGAGGTGGGAGGGGGGACCGGGATGGGGAATACATGTAAAAAAAAAAAAAAAAAAAGATACACTATGGTTGTGATAAAAAATAAATAAATAAATAAATAAATTAAAAAAAAAAAAAAGAAAGCAAGTTAAAAAAAAAAAAAAAGAGAAGCACCCTACACCCCCAGCAAGGGGGGTGGGGGCAGGGGGGAGGCTACTCAGTTGCCTGTATGGAACAGGAGCAGCTGACCTAGAATTAAGCAACTCATGTCACTCCTACCATTATTACTAATAATAGCTAGTGCATGTTGAGGACTTCATATGTGCAAAAACAGTCTAAGAACTATTAAGAATATTTTATCTAAACCAGTGATTCCCCATATGTGGCTCCCAGGCCACCAGCATCAGTATCACTTGGAAGCATATTAGAAATAAAAGCCCTCTGGGCCCATCCCAGACCAATCTGATTTCAACAAGTTGATGCATGCTCAAATTTGAGAGCCACAGATCTCCCCCTCACAACAGTTCAACAAGGAGGGTACTCACTATCCCTACTTTACTAAACCAAAGGCTTAGAAAGATGCCCTTGCAGGCAGTCAGAAAGTGATGAAGCCCTCACTGGAACCCAGGCTTGTGTGACTCCAACATCCATGAAGATCTTCTGCTTCCCCTCCCCACCCAATACAACTGAGAGCTGACTGGCAATGCCATCACTCTGTGGCTACCGTGTGCAAAATGGTGCCCATGCAGTTGTGCAGTGGTGCAGAGCCTGCCTGGCTGCGCCTGATGTCCAGGGCCCCCCACCCCTCACCCATTCACAGTAAACCATTCCCCTGTCTTGTTCCTCCCCACCCCTTTGCTCCTCCTGGAGCCTCACTTGTTCTTGTAGTCATCCACAACATCCTGCATGCTCCTGATCTCCGAGCTCTGGCGCATCTGCTCCGCTCTGAGAAAATCCACCTGCTTCTGCAGCTTGCTAATGTAGCTTTCAAAGATGGGCTCCAGATTGTTGGTCTGAGTCGACGTGTTTACCTGCTGCAGTAGCTCCCATTTTGTCTGGAGCACCTGATTCTGCTGCTCCAGAAATCGCACCTGAGAACAGAAAACCTCCGAGTTCACCCCCAAGCCCTGGGTCCAAGAAGCACTCCCACAGGTAGAAGCAGGTGCAGCCCCATAGCATATCCAGACCTCAGAGAATCAGGACACCCCTCCGGGGGTCAGAGGGCTCTCTTTTTCTAGGACCAGGATGCATGAATGCAGTATGGCTTCTGATGGTTGACCAATGACTGTAAGGTCAACCTGCTGAAAAATTACACTAATTGAACTCTGCTGTTGAAGGCAAGTCCCCTCCATCCGAGTGGTACCCTGTTTCCTCTGGTTCTATCAGCTTGCATGGTAGAGTTGTCCATCCCCACCCTCAGCTCCCCATGCCAACCTCAGGAAATGGTGACCCAGAGCATCTGAAACTCTGGCACACCCAGGGCTCATGTCTCTCTGCAGCTGAGACACTTTATGTGATTGAGGAGAAGAGAAAGTAAGAGAAGGGGAGGAATAATTTTGGCTTCAAATATTAAACCGATCCCTGAACACACTAGCCCAGGTGCCCCCATCCTGAAACCCACTACCTCTACTGCTGCCGAGTGTATTTTTCATGAAGGTCACCTCGTTTAAATGTTCTCATAACCCAGACAGATTTTTTTTTTTAAAGTGAAATTTTAGCCATGTTTTTATATTGAAGTGTAGTTGATTAGCAATGATGTGTTAGTTTCAGGTGTATAGCAAAGTGATTCAGTTATACATATACATGTATCTATTCTTTTTCAAATTCTTGAATTAGGAGTTTGGGATTGACATCTACATGCTACTATATTTAAAATAGACACCAACAAGGACTTACTGCATAGTACAGGGCACTCTGCTCAATACTCTGTAATAACCTAAGAGCAAAAAGAATTTTGGACAAAACTTTTAAAGTAAGTATGATTTTTAAGTTATGTGACTTGTTCTAATGCCCCAAAGTAGGACTTTGACGATGCCTGTGTGCGAGTTGTGTGTGCACACTCAGTTGTGTCCAACTCTTTGCGACCCCATGGACTGTAGCTTGCCAGGCTCCTCTGTTGGTGGAATTTTCCAGGCGAGAATCCTAGAGCGGGTTGCCATTTTCTCCTCCAAGGGATCTTCCCAACGCAGGGATCAAACCCAGGTCTCCTGCATTGCAGGCAGATTCTTTACCATCTGAGCCATAACTAATCTCATTACAGCCCAATAAACGCTTTTATATTTCTAAACCCAGGGATGGAACTAGCATTTGGGAAATCCCCATGTTGCAGTTTCCTTCTTTAGCACAGAGGATGGAGAGTAGATCTCACCCTGTGTTCTCACTGCTTCTTCCCCCAAAGCTGTGCACACAAAGGTCAAGTACAGGCTCCAGAAAGCTGGCTGGCTGTGCAGATCCAGTCCTGGACTGTCCTTCCCATGGTGATGATCAATTTTCGTCCTACCTCCACCGGCCGCCTGCAGGGGGAGCCTCCCCTTCCATGCCTTAAGTGAGGACAGTGTATTTCTCCATGTTTTGCTCAGGTGTGTTGTACACACACATACACACATACACATACCCACCCACACATACCCACCCACATACACACAAACACACACACACACACATGCCCTCCAGGAGCCTCCCAGGAGATGTGGGGAGTGGTGGGGGAGGAGGCTAACACACTCTTTTGTGTTGTCATAACAGAACCATGAAGATAGTTCTCCACAATGCTTAAGGAGTTGAGGGGGGACAGAATTCCCAGCCTTGAGACTGTCCATCTGAGCAGCCAGCCCTTGTTAACTTCCTTTAGCTCTGACTCTAGGCTGGAATGTGCCCAGAGAACACTCTTTCCCATGGCTCATTTTTGTTAGCTTTATCAAAGCAAGAGATAAAGCAGCCGCCCTCACAGCTTGTCCACCCGGTCTGTGACATCCCCGTGAGAAATCCCTGCCACCTGGCCAGTTGTCAGTCTGGTGGCAATCCCAGGGAGGGGAGAGACTGGGAGCTTTCGCAGCCCTTTGCTCTGAGTTATGGGGACCTGAGGTAAGGATCTTATGGTCCCACAGGGAAGCTCCATGTCAAACAATGAGGGGGCAGTGGGACAATTCTGAGTGCTAGGGGTTTAGGCCGAGCGCCCACCCCAGGCGAAGAAACTATGGCTTTCATTGGTCACCCAAACTGCAGAGTCAGAAGCTGACTTCAGGGGGTGCCAGGCAATTTTCATGAGATTTAACCGCTATAAAAATCACTGAAAGCCATCATGATCTTTCCCCAGGGGGCCCCCAAACACTGCCGGGCTGTGTCCCAGCAGCAGTACTCAGGAGAAGCCCAGGTAACCCAGATCAAACTTAGCATCACATGTGTTAAGCTTCTTCCTGGGTAAAGTACACCCCACTCAAACTCCTGTGGCCCTCTCCCCCTGCAAATGACATTCCAATCACCTCCTAGTGCCTCCAGCAGCCTAGATCTCCCCAACCCTTTGCCTGGCAAAGTCCTAGTCTCCCTTTAGATCTCAACTAGGGCAGCACCCCCTGGGGGTCTCCCCTTCATAACCCCCTGTTCTTTTCCCCTGTGCCATCTATCATGATTTCAGTCTTTTGTTTTTTAGCACATTCCTCCCTACAATGGGATGTGAGCCCCAAGAAGGCAGGCTTTGTTCTCCACTGGACACCAGGTGCTGAGACCCATAGATACATAGCTCCCAGCTCAGAGAAGGCAGTTCATAAACACCATGGACTAATGAAATGCTCGGACACTGGCATTGCTGTTAGTATAGACCATCCACCCTGCTCATTGCCCTGAACAGAGGATTCAAGCTCAGCTGAACAAAGCCAGGGCACTGTCTCTGTGGGAAGAACTGGGTCCCTCATCCTATTTTCCTGGGATCCCTTTCCTTTGCCATTGATGCTAAAAAACTTTTTTTCTAAATAGCCTTTGTCTCCATTCCCACTCTCTGAGAGCCCAAGTTTGACACCTGAAGGGTTGACTCAATTTTTCACTGAACACAAATTTATTGAGCAGCTATCAGATGCCAGGCAGTATTCTGGGTGCTGGAGATACAGCTATAAATAAAACAGAAAAAAATCCCTGCATTCCAAAAGTTGACAATCTGTTTGAAGAGATGACTATAAGGAAACAAATGTGACCTATACAGTGTGTTGAATGGCTGTAGGGGCCATGGAGAAAAGTAACACACTGATGGGGGGTAGAGATGCTGATATGGGGTACTCCTTTAAATAGGGAGATCAGGGAGGCCTCACTGAGACAGCAGTGTGTGAGCAAAGACCTGAAGGAGATGAGGGCTCCAGCTGGACCACTCCTCGGAGGGAGGAGTTCCAAGCAGAGGGAATGGCAAGTGCAAAGGCCCTGAGGCAGGACCATGGTGGGGTACAGGAGAATGAGGGAGGCAATAGTGTGCCAGTGAGCAAAAGGAAAACAGGGGTAGAGTCAGGGAAGGTGTCCAAGGTCACTGTGCTGAGTGGTACCTTGGTGAGCTAAGTTCCTGCCTTCACTCTGCTCACTAAACCTTGCAGCCTGAGAGTGGTTCTGCCCAGTAGCAGCAATGTGGCCTCAGTCTCACAAAAGCAAGCCAGGAACTAGCAGCAGCTATGGGTTAGAGGGCCAGATCATATAGGACCTTGTAAGATTGTGCCTATTATTTCTGATGAGACAGGAAGCCAACAGAGGGTTCAAATGGAGGAGTGATGTGGTATGTTTTTAAAGGATGGCACTGGTGTGATGCTGAGAATAGGCTATACAAAATTAAAGCCAAAAGCAAGAAGATCAGGTCAGAAGGTAGGGTCAGAAGCCACTGTGATAGAAGCCTTCTCTCTTCCAGCCAGGCCAGAGCCCTCCTGGATGAGTACTCTCCTCGTGGTCATCACAGTCCAGGCCCTTAGGGAAGGGCAGGAAGCCATAGTCACTTGAACCTTGCCCTCAGCCCCATGCCACAAACCTGAAGAGATGTCCTGTTAATGGCAGGCTGCTGCTGCTGCTGCTGCTAAGTCGCTTCAGACGTGTCCAACTCTGTGCGACCCCATAGACGGCAGCCCACCAGGCTCCCCCGTCCCTGGGATTCTCCAGGCAAGAACACTGGAGTGGGTTGCCATTTCCTTCTCCAGTGCATGAAAGTGAAAAGTGAAAGGGAAGTCGCTCAGTCGTGTCCGATTCTTAGCGACCCCATGAACTGCAGCCAACCAGGCTCATTCGTCCATGGGATTTTCCAGGCAAGAGTACTGGAGTGGGGTGCCATTGCCTTCTCCCGTTAATGGCAGGAACCATAATCAAATCAGAGTCTCAGGAGATCAGTTGCCCGTGGCCATTTCAACAATCCCCAAAGCTGTCTTCTTCCTGCCTTTGATCTGGCTTGACCTTTCAGTGATGTCTCCTTCATCTGTCATCTCCTTGTTCCCATCAAGCCCTCTTAGTCCCTGTCTATACCTGAGGTGTGATGATATTCAGCCAAATGCCTCATCCAAGGTGATCAGAAGCAGTCAGAAGCACTTTGCTCTGTTGAATTCCTCTTTGGCTGCTTCTGGATCTCAACTTTCTTATCCCTTCACCCCCAACTCACCCACTGTGTCCCGGCCCCAGCTTTCACCCAGATATCAGAGGCCAGTACACAGACCAACGGTGGACTTTGGCAATGCTTACCCTGCAGTCAGAGATAGGTCAAGCTTTGGCCTCAACACTGAACTTCTATGAGGCCTGAAGGAACGTCACTAAGCCTGCAGGGGTCTCTGGATCCCAGGGTGCTTCCCACTACATCCCCAAAGGTAAAGAAATTTCTGGGGAGCCTCCAGTGGCTTCCATGCCTCCATCACCTTTGGATAAAAGGAAATGCTGGTGGAAGGTCTTTTCCATATCTCTTCTACTAGCCCCTGCTTGGTGGTTTGGACCTGACCCAATCCAACCTAAGGTTTAAACTAGGGAGAAGGGGTTTATTTTGGCTCCATCTGGCCTATTCTTGGCCCTGGATGAGCTAAAATGAGGAACTCAGACAGAATCCTATACAGTAGGGTATTGGTTTTCACCCCCAGCAATCCCCACCAGAGTCATCAGCTTGGTTCTGCTGCAGTGTGCCCACTTTGTTTCTCTCCCCCTGCTCTGTGTCTCCATCTCCACTTCCTTCCTCCTTCCTCTCTTGTGCCATGTTCTCCAGAAATTGTAACCATTTGAAATTTCCTAAAAGCGTCAAACCCTCCAGCCTCCTGGTTCTTCTGCCTGGAAACTCCCTCTGCCCTGAGAACCTGTTTGACTCTTTCTCCACCTTCAAGACCTTTATCAGCCCAGAGCTCATCACACCCTCCTTTGTGCTATGGCTCAGAGAGCATTGTCTTTATCAACACACCTCCCACACACTGTCACAATCCTCCTCCCTTTAGATCTGGGGCTCCTTGAGGGCAGGACCTGTGTCCTTGTCACCCTGCAACACCTGGAGTGTCTGGCATATAATAGATGCTTAGTAAATGTTTGTGGGCTGGATGATATGTAGGTGGGTAGGGGGATGGGTGGGTGAATGGGTAGATGGGTGAAGAGGTATATGGATGAATGAGTAAATGGATAGATGGGTAGGTGGATGAATGGATGGATGGATGGATGGATGGAAAGTGAAAATGATGAGTGAGATTACATCATGTATTTTGTCTGATGGGTATTTTCATTCCTTGGATCTGCTTTCCTGCCAAAATGAAAAGATAAAGATGAACCCCTCAAGAAGTCAAATTGAGGTCTAAATGAAGTCAATGCTTTCTTAAAGTCCCAGGACACACACACTGGAAGTGACTGTCACCACCAGAGACAATGTGGTGAGAGGCAGCAGGGTACAAGGTCATTTGGTCAGAGCCCAGAGACTACCTGCCCCTGGGGCACTCACCTTGTCAATGAAGGAGGCAAACTTGTTGTTCAGAACCATGATCTGCTCCCGCTCCTGCATCTTAACCCTCTGAATTTCAGGGTCCACCTCCAGGTGAAGTGGTTGTAAGAGGCTCTGGTTAATGGTCACTTCTTGGATACCCCCTGGGGGACAAGAAGGACCAAAGCCCCCAAGCCCCAAATTGCCACCCCTAAACCCAGCACCCCCAAGACCACCTCCTCCATAGCCACCACCTCCAAAGCCACGACCCCCAAAACCACCACCTCCAAAGCTCCTGCCTCCTCCAAACCCCCCTCCTGCTCCCCCACCATGGCAGAAACCACTGGCACTTCTCCCTATTAGGCTGATGGAGATGCTTTTACTGCCACCCAGATTGTATAGGCTCCTGGAGGTAAACCCCCTTGCATGGCTTCCATACCCACCACCACCACTGCCACACCTCCCTCGGGCCTGACACACGGACCTCACAGCGCAGCTCCCACCACCAGAGCCCGCAGAGGAACCAGAGCTGTAAATCCGCCTGCTCCTGGAGCTGAACGCTGACTGGGAGCTAAACTGGTGGCTCATGGCTCCTGGAGCATCCAGAGACGCAGACGAGAGTAAGGGAATAAAAGGAGGCAGAGAGCAGGGAGGGAAGGAGCTGTGACTCCCTTGGCGGGAGATCTGGCTCAGTCCCTATATATAGATGCATTTGCTGGGCTGGGCACCTTCTGAAGCCTGGGAGGGGAGTATCTATGTTTAGTTTGCCTTGCCAGAAACATCTGTTTAAAATCTCACACCTATGAGTTGCAGAAATTGTGCTACAGACAAACTTCCCCAACTCGATTATTTATCATTCATCTCTTGCCATTTAGAGATCAGAATGCAACAGTCTCTGCAGGTCAAGTAGCTGGAAACTTCTATACAGTTTTCCCCCCAAATCTTGATGTCTTCTTAAGAAACTCCACCCTGAGTTGTTGGTTTGGGGGTGTGTCCAGGAGATCTGGGGCAAATCTAGGGGGTGTCCAGTCTCCTCGCAACCACAGCTAGGACCAGGGTGGAGACTTCACCAGCATTATCCTGGTAGGGAAACAGTAATAATCTTCCTACACCCTGATTCTGCTCCCCACTGTTATCATCACCCAAATCTTGATCACAGTATTGTGGTCATTGAGTGCGAGTGAAAGCAGGGGACTCTGCCCAAGGCTGCCCACACTTTCTGGGTGCATCATGTGTCACTCCATACACTCGGGCTCCACAAGTGCAAGACAGATGAGGTCCTATGGCACCAAAGGTCTGTAGTGGTAGATTCATTGAGCATCTCACAGGACTTAACATGGTCTTCTAGACCAAGAGACAAACTATCCTCAAATCTCTCTTTTTCCTTTTTCTTTTCCCATCCCAATCTCTTGTAGACCAATGCTTTTGTGAAATAGGATAAAAATGAATTACCCTTAAAGGGAGATTTCTTTTGTGCGCATGCGTGCTCAGTCATGTCTGAATGTTTGCGACCCCATGGACAGTAGCCTACCAGGGTCCTTTGTCCATGGAACTTTCCAGACAAGAATACTGGAATGGGTTGTCATTTCCTTAGCCAGGGGATCTTCCCGACACATGGATCAAACCCACATTGACCTGCATCTTCTGCATTGACAGGTGGATTCTTTACCACTGAACCACCTGGGAAAACCAAAAGGAGATTTTAAGGCATATGAAATACAAGCCTCATTTTTTTTAATTTTTAGGTTAAACAGACCCAAAACTGTTCCATTGCTAAAAGGAAAAATATTTTCAATTTGTTTCTAAATGATTATTCTCATATTTTGTAGGTATCTCCTCTCAAACCAGTAACAAATCACCTGTGGACCATATTTTGGAAAGCACTACCCCAGACAGCAAGTGTAGGCAAAGCTCATTCAACATGCATCAGTGTCAGCCTATAAAAAAATGTGTATTTGCCCTCTAGAACTAAATGGATGGTGACTTTCATCCAAAACTTATAACAATGACAAATATTATTGAGGGGGAAAAGCCCTAAACATCCAGACTCAGAAAAATGACTAAATGATGGCTTGCCACTTTGATACAATTATCTAAAATTATCATTACAGAATGATACAATGTTAAATGAGGAAATACACAATGGTATCTGTGCTATGAACCCATAAAAATTAAGAACGCTGAGAAGGCAAATTTAAAAAGTAGCATAGGAAGTGAATTGGTTTATTAAGGATTGTAGGTGGGGTTTTTTCCTATGTCTTTCTTTGTTTTTGTGCAATAAGTAAATACTTTTGCAAAAGCTGAGACTGAAGTCCCAGCTGCCAACAGCTAGAGCAAGACAAGTGCTGGGGAGCACCAGTGAGCGGCATCCCAGGGCTGGGAGGGGCTCTGTGGGCAGCCTCCATGCCTTCCTCACTGCTCGGCAGTTGTTTAGTGGACAGTCTCCAGTAGACTCTATGTAAAAGAGAAAGTGAGCTTAAAATTTACAGTCACAGAGCTGGTTGCAGCACCCAGCTCTGCTTTCACTGACCTGTGTGATCTTAGGCAAGTCACCTCCTGTAGAACCTCAGAAACTTAAAGAAACAGAGAATCTATTCCTCACAAAGTCAATCCCATAAGGCAAGTAAAAAAGCACAAAGCACTATAACATACTAAACAAACATAGAGCCATTCTCGGATCCTGGCAGGTTGACCAGTGGCCCCTCTTTGCCTGGACTTTCAGTGCTTAAACCAGGACAGTCCCAGTCAAGTCAGGATGCTTGCCACATTAGTCTGGCCACCTCAGGTCTGCACAGCCCTAGTCCTGATCCTAACCCCCTCAGGGAACTCTTGGTAAGAAAGATAAGCCAAGCCTCAGCCCCTGGGTCCAAGAGACACAGGAGAAAACCAGTAGTCAGAGGAAGAAAAGGGGAGCCAGGGATTGGGATGGGTCAGAGTGAGAGAGTGGCCTGAAGGCAAGAATTCTGAGTCAGGTCGAGGCAGAGAAAGCAGGAAAAGTGGAGAAAAGATGATGGGACCCAGGTAGGAAGCAGCAATGGTGTGGGGAAGATCCTTGAGTTGGGTATCTCAAAACCTGGACTTCTGCCCGCTCCTGGTCCCATGACTTGGACACTTAGCTCCTTGAGCCTCAGTTTCCTAGTCTGCAGAAAAAGGATAATCACCCTAGCTTCACAGGGTGACTCTAGTGAATAACTGAGATCAAATATGGAAACTCCAGAGAGTCATACAAGTGGGTTCAGGCACCCCTGCCCCCTCACCTCCACATAGCCTTTCCTGAAGACTCTAGACCACGTGAGCCAACTTGTCACCTGCTACGACACTTTTTGCATCACTCACTTTCAACTCTTACTATGAAGAATGCCCATAATTAAACCTTTCATGTGTGTCTCTACCGCCAACTAAACAGGAAGCTCAGGTTTACATTTACTCCCATACTGAACATGGGTACTTGGTCAATTGTGATGAAATAGAAGAGGAACCCCCAGAAAGCAGAATTTAGAAAACCCCTTTGGTCTCGAGCTGTGACTAGCTGCCAGCATCCAGTGCCAACACCCCGTCTAACTCCTGACAGCTGGCTGACCCCTGGTGAGCTGCTATCACTCCCTTGAAGGGCTGGAGCAATGGGAGCTCAGCAAATATTACTATCTGAGCCTTTGGTGTAGGCTGAAAACTATTCTACTCCCTCAGCACAAAAGAAAACTGGCTTAAAGTGAAACAAGAGAGATTTTACTTGTCCAGAAGATTGACCTGGGGAAAATGTTAGACAGTGGATGAGGTTTCTAAGGCAAATTGCTGTCCCCACAGAAAAACCCTTCAATTGGTTGGACAGCACAGAGTAATGGTTTCTAAACATGCTACACACTGGAATCACCTGAGGAACTTCAAAAGCCACTGATGCCTCTATCCACCCATAGGGACTGGTTCATTCATTTGGGGAGTAGTATAGGCTTTGGAATTTTTAAATTCCAGGTGGTTTAAATGGGCAGACAAATTTGGGAACCATTGACCTGGAGGAAGCAGAAGGATGATTGAGAATATTGAGATTCCATTCAGTCTGAGGACAAAAGAATAATGATCATAGCACTAATAGTCAACCTCTCACCAAGGGCTTTCAATGGACCAAGCACTGCACTGGTTCTGTAATGTGGATAATCTCATTAAATCTGTAAGTCAACATTATAAGGGAGCTATTCTTATTCTTACCCTCACTTTACAGATAGGGAAGAGGAGATTTGGAGAGATCAAGTATCTTATCTGAGAACTTACAGATGAAAGTGGTGGAATGGAGATTTGAACCCAGGCACCCCTACTCCAGAACCCACAGGTACTGCAGAAGAGGTAGGGTCTTTGGAGAGACAGGTTCCCCGCCTCCTCTCCATATCTCTTCTCATCTGCCATCAGTGCTGTCCTTAAAAGGAAAGTAGGAAGTCAGCTGAGGGCTCCAGCTGGCCCTGCCTGTCTCCCAGGTACTGAAACCCAGGGCTGCCAAGAGGGTGAGGCCCAGGGCAGTTATCAAATACCAGATCACAGCCTCTGGAAGCAGTGGGAGGCAGAGTTTAAGAGAAGTTGCTGGTATGACTGGCTGAGGCAGTCCCTGCAAAACCCTCCCCATCTCACACTGCATCTCTTAGGTCCAGAGGTGGATATTACAGGACAGCAAGGAAGAGGGGCAGGACATGAGGACAGAGGCAGGACCCCTTGGTCAGAGAAAGGAATAGAGGGAGAATTTCACTACCAGTTCCAACTTGGGGAGGAGGGGAGAGATAAAGTCTTAGTGAGGTATGTGGGCCATTAATCTTGAAATCAGAGCCTTGGGGACCCTGAGCACCAGAGGGAGCAGTAATGTGACAGGGATCAGGAAGAGCAGCCCCTAGAATGGATTTGAAATTTCTAGCCTGGGCTTCCCACACCCTTAGACCAATATTCTTCCTGCGGAGTATCAGACCTGGACAGATGACAAAGACCATCAGCCCAGCATCTTAATTTTATGAGAAGGAAATAGGCACAAAAAAGGAAAGGACTTGGTCAAGGCTACAGGGGAAAGTTGTTGGGGCAGCCAGAATTAGAGCTTGAATAGCCTCCCTCCCAATCCAAAAAAGAGCCAGAGGCCTAGGAGAAAATCCTGGCAGCCTCTTGGCTTCTGAAGCCTGGGAGAGATGGGACCCATGGGGAACTCAACCTCCAGTTTCCAACAGGCCCTCCTGCAGGGATGGGAAGATGGAGCTAGGAAGCAGGAACATCCATGTGTTCTCCTGATTCTGGGTTAGAGTGAGTGTTAGGGGCAACAACTAAGGCCTCAATCTCCTCCTGAAGCCCCAAATCAGCCAGGACCCCACTTATGACATCCTTTTGACTAGAATGCCACCCTGCCCTGGAAACTAAGGATGAGTCTTTCATTCTCATAAAATCTGAGAAGTGTCCTTGGGCCAGAAGCCCTCACAAGGTCTCAGAACAGCCCTGTACATTCTCTTGGCCAAGGTCCAAAGATAATTTTGTTCCAGGTAAATTAACTTCTCCATCCAACATGTTGGAAGTCTCGACTATGTATAGACCTGTTTGTAAAGCTGGCAACTTTCTCTTGTCTCTGAGGCAGAGGGAACATCTGTGCAGACGTGGGCCTGAAGGGAAATAAAGCTGCTGGTTAGACGTGGATTAAATTCCAACAGGAATAGAAAGGCTCCTGCCATAAACAGGGGTTGTCTAGGCAGAGGATGCCATTATATGTTGGATCAGATTGAGAGACAAGAAAGACTCAAGGTCTCAGTGCTAGGTAGCGGTGGGGTGAGGACCAGAATCGCAAGTTCTTGGAGGAAATATGATGCTTGTGGGAAACGGCAAGTAGTTAGGAGGGATCATACCCAGGCAGCCTTATTCCAAAGTCTGGGTCTTACCACAGTACTTGCAGTTTCATGAGGCAATTTAGAGCGGCTTTGGCATTTGGCTGCTAGAGTTTGAATTATCTCCCTCTGGGTAAGTTCATTTCTCTTTCTTGCCTCTGTTTCCTCATTTGTATAAAGTGGAAAGAAGAACACTGCCTACCTCTCTGAAAATTAAATGAGTTAATTCTTTAAGAATGGTTACCAGAGTGCTAGCAAATAAGAAAGCATCTATTTTCACAACTATTATGGTGCTACACAACATACACACATACCTGTTAACCAAATTGTATTTTCCATCCATCTTACCTTAACAAATGGGAAAGTCATTGTGAGCAGGAACATATGTATCTGTGATATATTGTGGTTTTTTGTTTTGTCTTGTTTTTAAAAGAAATTCAGCTTTTTTTTTTTTTAGGCTACAGTGCACCGCATGTGGGATCTTAGCTCCCCAACCAGAAGTCAAACCTGCACCCCTTGCACTAGAAGCGCTGAGCCTTAACCCTTGGATCACCTGGATCATGGGGGAAGTCCCTGTGTTATACTGCTAAGCCTACAAAAGATACAGAAAAGCTTTTCTTTAATAATATACTTAAAGGAAAATAGCAAGTTTTTAATCTGTTTGAAACAAGTCAAAAGTATCTCTTCTGTCCTCAGGTTAAAGGTGTGTTACACTGCATCACTGCCTGGGGGGATGTGTAGCCAACAGTGGGTTTGCTTTTGAAAGGTGAGGCTACACCCCCTTGGAGCACAGGCTGCGATGGGCAGTTGCCAGGCTTCTGTCTGTCGGCATCAGACTATTGCAGGTAAGCTTTTCACTTCAGAGCTAGAACATTCACTGTCAAAGCTGCAGTTGTATGTTTTGTTTTTTTAGGCAGTGAGTATTTGGCAGCTGTGTGTTTACTTAGCAAAGAGTTTCTGGGATCACCAGAAGGCGTGTCCTCTCTGTTTATCCAACATTCTTTGTCAGTCTTCTATGCTGATGAGGACTACACTTTAAAGAGAAGGTACTCAGGCACACACGTTTGTCTACCTGCATGTCCCTGGTTTGAGTCGAACCTCCCAGCCCCTGCACTGAACCTGTGTTCTACACAAGTCCTCCTGGGTCTGCCTCGATTCTGTGCTGTACCTGGGGTAGGAGTCAGGGGTGACCTGTCACAGGGCCATCCAGGGTCTTTGACAGCTCTCCTAACTTTATATTTGAAGGCCCCATGCTCAGATGGTAAAGAATTCGCCTTCAGCGCAGGAGACCTGGGTTCGATCCCTGGTTCAGGAAGATCACCTGGAGAACGGAATGGCAAACCACTCCAGTATTCTTGCCTGGAGAATTCCATACACAGAGGAGCCTGGCAGGCTGCAATCCGTGGGGTCCCAAAGAGTTGAACACAAATAAGATACTGACGCTTACACTTTCACCACATCATAGCAAATGTGTTAAAATACATATACAATTTTATGTTATAAAACACTCAAATTTTTACAATTGCTTTTGAAAATATACGACTATCAGCAACTAAGTGAATTATGATGAGCTGTAATGACTGGACAATTTCAGACATTTCTGGAATGATTCAAAAGCAAGGAAATCAAACCTACAACTTTTTTTCAAGTGTAATGAAACTTATGAATTGAAAATCTGATCAATGAAGAAAGTTGGTATATGTCATGCATAGTCTTCAGTGGATAAAAGACCCAGCCCCCCACCCCCCAAAAAAAGACCCAGCCCCTCCCGCCTGGGACCTCTCAGAACTCCCTGGTAGCGTCTGACTTCAAGCTCAGGCCAAGCTCTGTGTGGGAAAGAGACTGCGGTGAGTCACTGGCGGTGGATATCAGACACAATGACCTTGGAATCCAGAAGGAAAAGTCTACCACTGTGTCTGAATCAATGTGGTTTATTGAAGATACAGAACAGAAAATTCATACATATCCTGGGGCCAAGAAAGGAAAAGTACTGCTCGAGGGAAACCAAAACATCAGCAGGAGATTGGGGGGAGAGGGGGCGCCGGGGTTGCGGGGGAGGGTAGCCGGGTGTGCACAGGGCTGGCTGGTGCTTTCCCATAGGACCGTGAAACATGCGCTGGGGTGGAGACCCCTGCGGGACGGGGGCGGTGACACAGCCCAGAGCCTGGGCACTGCCCCGCGGCTCGGCCTTATGGGAGTAGATGGTTTTTCCGCCAGATCACCCTTCCCAGGAAATTTTGGGCTGCGATGCCAGCCGCAGAAGCTACGTAGGGAAAGGGTCCCACGGGTATGTGAAAGGGCGTACAGAGCTAGAGTGTGCCGGCAGGTGAAGGGGACTGGTGGGTCCGAGACAACGTTCAGAGTTTGCGCTGGGACCGCTGGCTCTGGGAGGAGCTTTGTGTGACCCGGACCGAGCTGCGACCGCCACCTCCGCTGACGGCGCACGAGCCCCCGGAATTGGAGACGCCCCCGCGCACCGCTGAGCTCCCGCCGGAACTGCCGTCCAAGCCCAGGCCTCCGCGGCTGGCTCTGCTGCCCCGGCCTCCGCTGCCCAGAGCCCCGCTCCCCAGACCGCCGCTCCCCAGACCCCCGCTGCCCAGGCCTCCTCGACCCCCAGCTCCTCCTCCCAGGGCGCCGCTGCCGCCACTGCTGCTGCTGGTCGTGCTGTGAACCATCTCTGCAAAGAGCATTTGGGGTCAGCCAGCTTCTGGGAGGCCGGTCCAGCCTGCCCACCAGTCCCGCCAACAGTCCGGGAGCCAATCCCCTCCGCCCACCGGCTCTTCCCCTGGGTACCGCCCACTAAGGTTTTGCGGAGTCGGATGAGGGCCGGCCTCAAGACAACGGGGCAGGGGAGGTTGGCTTCCCCCGCCGCCACCCTACAGGCTCTACCCAGCCTGCAAATGGTGCATGCAGCCCACCAGTGCTGGCCCACAGTCTCCCCCCGCCGCCCCACCCTCGGTTTGAGAAACATTATCCCAAGGCATCCAGCCCCTTTCCGGAGAAGGAACCCGGTACTCACCGATGCTCACAGAACTCTGGCACTCCCCAGACATCCTGTTGGGGAAGACCAGACCTCGGTGTTAGCATCTGTCCTGGAGCCTCCTTTCCTTAAATACACCTTGCTTAGGTCAATAGCAGTGAAAGCCTTGGTCCCCCCAGCTCCTTCCTGACTGATGCTGACTGTAAGAAATAGGTGCTCAAAATGCCATGGCATGCATTCCTCCTCCTGTTGTGTAAAGTTGGGTTTAAATTGTTATCCTTTCCCACTTCAAGAGGATCAGAGTAGAGGGTCATTCGTGTGTCTACCCATACTCTTCCTGCTCCTCAGGAGCCTATAGAGTAACTAATGTTTATATCTGTACCTTTAAAGGCCAGAACCCTATAACCAAGTGCCAGCCTACAGAAACCCACTCTTCAGAAACCTACTATTAAGGCCTTAAAAATAAAGAAATAACCTAGAAATAGTGTTTATGCCTGTGAAAGTGCAAGTCGCTCAGTCATGTCTGACTCTTTGTGATCCCATGGACTATACAGTCCATGGAATTCTCCAGGCCAGAATACTGGAGTGGGTAGCCTTTCCCTTCTCCAGGGGATCTTCCCAGCCCAGGGATGGAACCCAGGTCTCCCACATTGCAGGCAGATTCTTTACCAGCTGAGCCACCAGGAAAGCCCAAGAATACTGGAGTGGGTAGTCTATCCCTTCTCCAGGGGACCTTCCTGACCCAGGAATAGAACTGGGGCCTCCTGCATTGCAGGCAGATTCTTTACCAGCTGAGCTACCAGGGAAGCCCTTATGCCTATGAGTCCTCCTCTTTTCAGACATGTACTTTACAGCTAAAATATGAGACATGAAAGATGGAAAAATCTGTCCAAGATAAGTTTCTGGTGATGTCACTATTGCATAGAAAGCACAGCTCTCCTGGAGGATTGGCAGCATCTCAAAGCCCTTAAAGGGGTGGAAGTGAGGGGTGGGGGCGGAATGGGCCTGCTGAGGGCTACCACTATCTCCAGCAGTGCACATGCGCATGCTCAGGCAGGAAAACCATCAGACCTCTCAGCCTCCTGGAAACCAAAGGGATTCCAACTAACCTGCACTCCTCGCCCTCCAGGAGGGTCCGGTAGGTGGCAATCTCAATGTCAAGGGCCAGCTTGACATTCATCAGCTCCTGGTACTCCTTCAGCAGCCGGGCCAGGTCCTCCTTGGCCTGCTGCAGGGCAGCCTTGAGATCCTGAAGCTTGGCATTGGCATCCTTGAGGGCCACTTCCCCGCGCTGCTCTGCATCAGCGATGGATGTCTGCAGGTTGGCATTCTGGGTTGGGGAGGGACCGGAAGTCCAATTTAGGTTCACGTGGATTCACTGAGAGCCTGCCTATGTGCTTGGCACTTACACATGGATCACCTCTTGTTGAATAAATGAGGAAACTAAAACCCAAGAAGATGAAACCTGGGCTTCAATCGAAATCCTAATGCCTCAAGGATTGGGATTAATACCATCTGGCCTCAAGGACCTAGACCAGCTCAGGAGTCAGACTCCTCCTATACCTCTCTTCTCTTTCATGGTAAGAGTCTAAGCATCTCCTGAAAGCCCTCCTCCTCCAGGAAGTCTTCCTGAATTATCCAAAGAATTGTGTCTCTGCCCTAATCCAGGTAGATGTGAGCTACCTTGGCTATTCTCCCAATTTGGTCTTCACACAGGTTCTTTCCCCAACCTCCCTAATTATGTCTGAACTCAACATTTCTGGTCTGCATCAGCCTCCAGTCTCCAGGCAGGCAGGATCTGGGTCCATAAGACATAGCCCAGAAGCACGCCCCGTCAATTTTAGCATGCAAGTGGTTGGGACGTGAGTGCTGAGTCCTGAGTTTATGGTGCAGGCATCACCCCGCAGTCTCAGATGAGTGCTCCCTCTTCCTTCCCACCTGCTTCTTGATGCTCTCAATCTCGGCCCGCAGCCTCTGGATCATCCAGTTGAGCTCCATAATCTCACTCTTGGTACTCTTCAGGTCTTCTCCATGCATGCCGGCTGTGGTCTGCAACTCACCCAACTGTACCCGAAAAGAGTCACACATTCAAAAGGCCAGCAGGGCCTACTACGGTCCCTTACTCTAACCCTTCTGCGTCACAAACAGGAAAACCAAAACAGAGTTAGGGCCTGTACAAGGTCAGCCACTGGAGGAATCACGTGCTCTGTCCTCTGAGTCAGGGACACATCTTCCAGCACAGTCGTTGCTGGGATTCTTTTGAGCATTTACTTTGCCCCAAGCCATGTGCTTTACCTCATAAAACCTCACAGCTCCCTGGTGAGGAAGGCATTATTATCCCTACCTTATGAATGGGAAAACTGACACACAGATTGCTTGAGTACCATTTCTAAACTCTCCGAGTTATCAAGTAAGAGGGCCGAAGCGTGAATGCAAACATTTCAGAGGCTGGAGCCATCTCTTACCTAGCAGGCTATGCTCCTGGGACAGAAAACTCAGAAGAGCCTGATGCTTAAAGGGCTAGCTTGGGCCCCTTTCAGATTTGGGGATGGGAGAAAGGTGTACAGAGTTCCCCTGTCCTCTAACTTTCCTCAGTCTCCCTTGCTCTCTCCCCACTTCCTTTCAGACTCTGGCTTCACACCCTCAGTGTGATCACATCAGAAGCAAGCATGTCAGGGCCCAATTGGGTGCAAGCAAAATGGAAGTATCTCCAACAATAAAAGATATGCAGCCAGAGGGCTTTAGATTAAGGATTTCTCAAGCTTGGCACTAGTGACATTTCAGACAGAGTAATTTTTTGTTTGGTGGGAGAATGATGTCTCATGCATTGTAGAATGTTTAGCAGCATCTCTGGCCTCTACCCACCAGACTCCAGTAGCACCCCACCCCCACCCCTAGATGTGACGTTCAAACCTGTCTTCACACATAGCCACGTGTCTCCGGGGGGAAAAGCATACCGCCCTGGTTGAGAAGCACCAGGTTCGAGCAATGTCTGAGCTCTCTGATTAGGAAGGGAGATGTCTGGTAGCAAACCAGCCTAGTAGGAGGGAGATGAGCCACCATGCTGGAAATGGAGAGGAGAATGACTCTGGAACAGACTCGGCCCTCCTGGGGAGACGCGATGGTGTCACCCACCTTGGACTGGTACAGAGCCTCAGCCTCAGCCTTGCTCCTCTGGGCGATGGCCTCGTACTGGGCGCGGACCTCGGCGATGATGCTGTCCAGGTCTAGGAAGCGGTTGTTGTCCATGGACAGGACCACGGACGTGTCGCCCATGTCTGACTGCACCTGGGACAGCTCCTGCAGGGCCAGGCAGACATGACCCCTCCTGAGCTCGCCAAGGGACGCAAGCCACCAGCTCAGGAGGGAGAGTTCTGGACCAACTGAGGGACAGGTGAGAAGGTGTCACTTCCATCAGAACGATAGAGAGGTGAACCTTTTTCTCTAGGAGACAGGAGGCAGGTGGGTCATGAGGCTTGGGGTGAGGGGCAGACTTACAGCATCATAGAGGGCCTTCAGGAAATTGATCTCATCTGTCACACTGTCCACCTTGGCCTCCAGATCCACTTTGGTCATGTAGGCAGCATCAATGTCCTGGGAGAGAATTCAGTCACATTCCCCTCTGACCTGTGGGCTTAGCCCAGTCCTGGGCACTGAGGGAAGGAGCGGGGCAAAGGGATCACAGGGGCCTGCCCCACCGCCTCCCCAGAGCTCCCAGTCAGGGGAAATGAGATATCCATCCGGGCACAGGCAGACCTGGCCTAACATTACCAAATAGGCTGCCTTTCAGGCTGGGCTGGAGGACCCTTCTCAGAAAACAGCCAAAGAGGCTGTGACGGTGAAACGAAGAGCAAAGACTGGGCTGGGGCCAGTACACTAAGACGGGGTGAGGAGAATTTGTGAGGAGGGTCTGGGGGAGAATCTACATCAGCAATATGCAAAGGTTCTCTCTTTTTTTTTTCCAAAGGCTCTCTTTAAACTGCTCCTAGGAACACACTCCTGGGGTAAGGGGGAGGGATATATGTATTAATATATATTCCTTCTCTTCATCCACTTTCTGATCACAACTCAAGATCTGATGGGATTCATAGACCCACAGGCCCATCAGGAGGGAGCCACATGGCAAAGTCTGATGGACCCTTTGGACCCTCCTCCTAGGAGGGGAGCCGCCGGGCCCTGAGAAACCAGGCCCAGCCCGTCCCAGCTTGCTGGGGTGGGGGGGCTCCCTGGCTCCCTCTGTGGCCCTCCCTCACCTACATGGCTTGAAGGAGACCCTCAAAATAAGAGGACTGGACTTTTCCTCCCCTCAACCTCATAGCACCCTATTCAGCGGGGCTCTAGGGTGGGAGGTGGGGGAAAGATCCTTCACCTTCTTCAAGACGACAAAGTCATTCTCTGCCGCAGTGCGCTTGTTGATCTCCTCTTCATATCTGTGAGAAAAGAAGCACTTTCTGGCCCATCTTCCCCAGGAGGTCACCATGGCCTCAGAGCACTTCCCACAAGTAGCGTAGACTCAGGGCTTCTTGTCCTGTCCTTTAGCTCAAGGCCAATGCCCTTGCAGTGCACCACTTTCCAGGTTCAGGTGAGACCTGGTTTTTCTACAGGCTTCACTGAGGGTAGGGCCTGGAACCAGCTCAATGTGCAGGAAGTATGGTAGCCCCACGGGCTCTAGTTACATACTTCTTGAATTCATGAAAACCAAGAATGGCACTACAAATGTGCCAGGTCTTATTCTGTGAATGACACGTATTAACTCATTCAGGCCTCACTACAGTGAATAAATACTATCACTGTCTCCATTTTACAGATGAGAAGACTGAGGCACAGAGAAGCTAAGGAGTTAGTCCAAGATCACAGGGCTGAAAGTGGTGAAATAGATCTTGCCCAAGGCACTCGGATTCCAGAGACCGTACTCTTGACTTTAAGCTGCCTCTCACTCAGAAGCCTATTGACAAGGGAAATACAGCCCATATTTGTTTTTTTTTTTTTTTAACTGTTTACAATATGTTTATTTATTTATTTTTTTTTCCATTGTTGAAAATAGTTCATTTTTTTTTTTTTTACATGTATTCTC